GAGAGAGAGAGGGGTAGGAAGGCAGATGCAACTTCTATTTCTTGTGATGGTACTATTTAAAAGTACCATGTCCCATGTCCCACACTTAACAGCTGGGAAGCTGCTTAGCAGTCGCATGGTTTATGGCTAATAACATACAGAGATACACTAATGAGCGAATCACTAGACACGATTTTGAGATCGTTTAAGAGATGTATGAAAATATAAAACAAAAGGGATGTTGGTACGTCGAAAAAGGGGAAAGATCGTTGATAGGGGAAAGATCTGTGTGTGCATGTTGGATGAAATATCATGTTAGCTGACGACAAAAATAATAAAGATCAAGTCTGGATTTCTTTTTTTTTTTTTACTCAACCCTATGATGATCAAGTTAGCTGACGATAAAAATAATAAAAAAATAATTCATTAACCCTATGTGTATAATTTTTGCACTAGGTACGAGAGAAAAGAATATTCCTTAAAATGTTTTGGAGAGTATAGTATAAAACTATCCCCTTATTCTCTTATCCACAAGGTATAAAATAAAAAATTTATAATTATTGTCTTAGACTTATGTCCACGTACATAGACAAAGATGAAGCAGGCTCTATCTATACGAATGATACAATCATCGTATATATGGACACATATATATGATTATTAACCCAAATATTTACCTTTATCATTTATCCCTCTTGAAGATGTACTACAGGTGCTTTCACAGGAGGGACCTGAAGTCCGATGTTTGGTTTATTCGACACATTAAGTTTATGCTTCATCGATTGGTGGCATCGGAAGGATGCTAATGGGGCTCGAGGACACTTGACCTCCATGCATCGAGCAAGCACTAACGAGGTCACGAACATTCGACCTCCATGCTCCAAAAGGAGTCGAGGATGATCGACCTTCGCACGTCAAGCAAATGCTAATGAGGGTCAAGGACGGTTAACCTCCACATGTCGGGCGAACACTGATAGGGGTCACAAATATCGACGAGGGTTGGGGATGCTTGACCTCTGTGTGTCGGGTAAATGTTGACAAGGTTAGCAATGCCTGACCCATACACCTTGAGTGCATTTTTGAAGGGGTTGGGATGACTCGATTTATGCCTTTGAGGGCTCTCTTCAAGTGGATTTAGTTTTTTTTATTAGTATACCTTGCACACCTCTTCCTTTATGTCTTTCTACTATGGTAGGATTTTTCTCATGTGGGTTGGATTTTTTTTATTTACGTGTCTTAGACATATTTCACCTTGTGCCTTCCGTTGCAGTGGATTTCTTCTCATGTGAGTCAGGTTTTCTTAACTCACATGTCTTAAGCATATTTCTCCTTATGCATCCTACCATTGTAAGTTTTTTCTTATATGAGTTAGGTTTTTCTAACTCATATATCTCGGGCATATTTTGCCTTATGCCTCATATCGTTGTGAGTTTCTTCTAATATAGATCAGATTTTCTCAACTCGCGTCTTATGCATATTTTGCTTTATACCTCCCAATATGATGAGTTTCTTTATACTTTTTGAGGTGGTCTTCACACATCGAGCATCTTTAGGCCTTTTAAGATATTCCTTGAAGGGTTAGAGTTACACTTTCTAATATACTATCATATTATAATTAATGTAAGAAGTAGGGTATTATCTTTATTAATTAGTCTCTCTTCAGATCCGACCCAAAGGGACACTTACCTTTAATATGGGAGGTGAGAGATTAATCCTCACCTTATAAATCTCCCTTACACATGGTGGTATGGCTCATTCTCTCATTTGAGCCTATATGATCCCCCTTAAGAACTTTTTCTTCTTAGCCTCAAGTCAATCCTTAGGTGTCTCGACCTTAAGTGTGTCAACTCTCCAATACCTTAGCTTTTCAACACCTAGGTTCCAAAGCACTTTTTTTACCTTACGGGTTGGGATATCTTTCTTTTTTCGCATAAGCTCCTCCTGATCTCATGATTGCCAAATGGTTAAGGAGGTTAGTGCTCCATCCTCGGACAACTCGAGGGGGGAGAAAGTTTTGACCTCCCCTTCGTTGGGAGAGTTAATCCCCGTGAACCCAAAGATCCTTTTGAGATTTAGAGTCAATTAAAAGCACATATGATAGGGATTTAGTAATGACCCCATAACTCTTAGACCACTTGTGGACCAGGTATTTTATCCCGACCAAGTTCGACCTACAAGTCTCTTGGCCGAGTCATCATCCATATGACTTGATGTTTAGTTTTTTTTTTTTTTAATCTTATAATGCATTAGAGGTGAGACTTTGCTTTCCTCTCAACTTGATAATTGTGTCTTACCTCCAATGGTGGAGGATATCGCCCTCCTAGATAACCCCCAACTCGTAGTACTATCTAAAAGTGTTTCTATGCTAGTATTACTCTAACATGTCAACTATTTATCACCTACCTTCAATTATGCAAGGCAAAAAACAGTTATTACTTGGTTGCTCTAGAGGGTTTTAATATTAGTGGTGCCCTTTCTAACTATAAGGGTTGGAATGAGTGCTTCATCTTCATATATATAGTTTGAGATTGAGAGTTCAATCTTGCCTGGCCTGCATGCTCTATAGATAATACACTTCTCTTCTTGTTGCACAAGGAGATGAATTAAGTGCTTTGATTAAGATATATACTCTCTTCTTCCGAGACTGTCAGGAAGATGATGAGAATAAGCTGTTCAACACGAATCTTAACCCGACTCCTCGGGGTATGATCTAAACATCCCACTTATCTCATTTTTTTTATTTTTGAGAAAATGACATATATAGTCTCACAATGTTGTCTTACTATAAGTATGGATCTTTGAGCTTTTAGGAGAAGGGGAGTTGGTTCCTCTTTAGGCACAACAGTAGCCTCTTCTCCTTCACTCGTTCGTGAGCTGTCACCCGATGTGTCAGCACAGACCTGATCCTATCACCCTTCTATCGTCGGTCACCCAATGAAGAAGAAAACTATAAAGAAGGTATCATGACCTCGATCGATCGAGAAGCTCGAGGTGGAGCAAATTCCCGAAGAGAAACTAAACGAGGTGCTTCCTACCCCCAAGGCACCATCATCTTCAAAGGGTCCTGAAGCTCAAGGTCCTCCTTAAAAAGAAGACGAGAGAGGTAAAGGTAAATGCTTAAACTATGTAAAGGTAAGTCTCCGTTCTTCATGATGCTAAAGATAGTCGACCTATCAAACCCAACTTCAAATATGTCGTTGTAGCCAAGATGGGAGATTATACAAGAAAGGTAGAAAATATAGAGCAATGCTAAAGCCACACAATAATACTATTGAGGGTCCCTATGCTCTGAGATTGTAAAGTAGATCTATCACTCCCCCTCAAAGGTTTTGCTTAATGTAGGCCCCTTTCAATTTGGCGCTAACTTACCCCGTGACCTAGTTGAGCCATTGACTTTAGTTTTCTAGAGCACCAGGTTCCCTAGTCCAACTCTTCAAGGGTGAATACCTCAGTTGTAAAACTTGCCATATCTTTTTTATATCTTAGCATTCTCAAGTGTGTCTCAACTCTAACCTCATTGATTAGGTTGAGTCTAGCCCACAATCCCTCTTTGCAAACTCTCATGTTAAATATTTTTAACTTGAGGTGATGGAAAGAAGATCTTGAGTGGCAAGATATTCTTGGTACCGAAGGCTAGGTAGAATGACGATTCTCCTAATCTAGTCTTAGGTGTCATTTGGGAAGCCTACAGGATGCTCGGTAGTTTATCTACCCAAGTGCCTTTAGCCCATATGACCCACTTATTTAGTCCTTAAAGAATGTATCGGTCGATAACCTCAACGAGGTCATTGGTCTAAGGATGAGTAATCGAGCTAAATTTTAGTTGAATTTCATAAGATTAACAGAACTCCTTGAACTTTACATTGTTAAACTAAGTCTCATTGTCAAATATTATAATTTTTGTGATTCTAAAGCGGGTGATAATATTCTTCCACATGAACCCCTCGACCTCTACCCACTTCGTGAAATAATCTACTCCGACAATGAAGAACCTCTATTGGCCCGAGCTTGGTGGGAAAGGTCCAAGATTATATATTCCCTACTAAGCGAAGGGTCATATGCAATTGATCGAACTTAATGGGACTGTCGGTTGATATTATATCTACACAAATCTTTGGCATCTATCGCACTTTTAAGCATAAGCTATCATATCCTTATGCAATATTGGCTAGTAAAACCATTATTAAAGTACTTTAAAGAAGAGAGTTCATCCACCAACGTGCTCCCTGTAACTGCCCTAATGCACCTTGGTCAACACTCTTTTGACTTTCTAAGGTATTGATTAGATAATATCATGCTTGCTAATGTTTGACTCATCGGGTTGATGGGGTCCGTCATGAGTGTTTCATCTTTTTTGTAGTATAGAATCTTATCTATCCAGCTTGAATCTTCCTCAACTATGACCATCTCATGCATGCTTATGTTTCGGGTTAGCAGTATCTCGATTAGCGATTAGCCCTCCTTGTTTGCCC